TGAAAGGAAAGAATCGTAATTTATGAATGGAAGAATAGACAGTGAGTCAATTAAGAAAATTCGCAAATAAATAAAGGCCTGGGCAGACCCTAAAGATGAGGTGTAGGGGCGTCTATTGGTAAGCTGATGGGAGTCTCTATAGGAAAAGGGGTTTTCTATACAAAGGGATTATCTTTTGACGAAGGAAACATTAATAGGGATTCTGAAGGTAGCCTTTCCACGCGTGCTGAAGGTAGACTTTATAGACCAACTGGAGGGAGTCTTTATGGACGAGCCTAACAGGGTATTTCAAAGACGAGCTGAAGGGAGTCTTTATGACGAACTGAAGGAAGTCTATATAGACGAGCTGAAGGGAGTCTTTGTAATCAGCAGTAGGGAGTCGTTGTAACAGGACTAACGGCCAGGAAGGTTCTGCTATCCATTTGGTGGGACTGGCAAGGGGATTATTTATTATGAGTTTCTTCTGATCTATAGTGTCAAGAACAGGACCGTTTGAAGGTAGCACCGGTCAGTATTTGTCAACAGGAGAGGTGTCATGTTCCACCAGGACAACGCTAGGCCACACACATCTACAGTGACTTGGGTGCTTGGTTGGGAAGTTTTAATGTTATTATTATCTTTTTCTTACATAGCAAAATTTATTTAATGAAGATCGACTACTGGAGTTTTTTGCAAATAGAGAACAGGACTTCTATGAGAGAGGCATTATGAAGTTACCTTCAAATCATACAACAAAACGGTGCATATTTGGTCCCAAATCGGACATTCCGAAGCATGTTAAATAAAGTCTTATAGTTCATATAAAAATAATGGATTTCTTTTTCCCAAACATAATATTTAAGTACATTAAATGAGACATTTAAGATTTCCACATTTTGAGGATAATTTTTAATGGTTTAAGGGATCCGGAAAAGTATAAGTTAGCTGGCCAATAAAAAAAATCAACTATTCTATGCCAGAATTCCAGCTCTATCGGTTCACCTAAACCGAAATTGTATCAAATTTAATACCATTTAGTATACCTGAATGCAAATTTCCACTACTACCTACATTATACAATCCTATAAAAATCTTATTTTCCAAATTCAGGATTACAGACTTATTAGTACCATTTAGTACACAAAAGTACGAAATTTCAAAACTATTGACATACATCAATTCTACACTCCGATAGTGATATAAATTCAAAATGTTTAGTATTCCGGCTCTATCGGTTCTCCTAATTCCAATTTATGTCAAATTTAGAACTTTTCGTACAGATAAGTACAAATTTCCAAAAACTCCCACATATCCTAATCTTACACCACAACAGGGACCCTAATTCAGGATTCCAACCCTATCAGTTCACCCTAAATTCAATTTGTACAAAATTTAGTGTCATTAACTATCTACATACATCAATTCTACACTCCAACAGCAATAATAATTTCAAACTTTTACTATTTCAGCTGTAAATCCAAATTGTATCAAATTAGGTACCATTTAGTATCCATAAGTACAAATTACCAAAACTATATCCATACCCCCAATACTACATCACCCCAACAATAATCTTATTTCCAAATTTCAATAATCCAGCTCTACCGGTTCAAACAAAATCCAAATTGTAACGAATTTAGTACCATTTAGTACACATTAGTAGAAATTTCCAAAACTTCGTATGTACCCCAATCCTACACCCCAACAGTGACCCTAACTCCAAAATTCCGGATACCAAAATACCTCAATTCGACAATCCTAAACTCCAACAATAATTTTATTTCAAATTTCAATGCTACAGCTCTACTGATTCACCTAAATCGCCCAAAATTCAAATTGTACAAAATTTAGTACACATAAGTTCGAATTTCTTAAACTACCAAAAATACCTCATTTCTGCAATGCAGTAGTAACCTTATGCCCAAATTTCATTATTCCAGCTTTATCGGTTCACTCAAATCCGAATTGTACTAAAAAAAGTTCCATTTAGTACCTTTCGTACACATAGGTAAAAATTAAAAAAAAAAACTATCTACATATCGCTATCCTATATTCCGACGGATGATTCCAGCATCATCCGTTTTTTCAAATTCAAATTGTACCATATTTAGTACAGTTTAGTACTTTTCGTATAAATGAGTACACGCTATCAAAACAACCTCCTTATAGCAACACTACTCTCAGCCTTAATTCGGATTCCAAATTTCATGTTTTTAGCTCTATCCATTCACATGCTATGAAATTGTACCAACTTTAGTACATTTTAGTACTATTCTGATAATTATAGTTCGAATGTCCAAAAAACCCTTTGCTATATATATTTTACACTCCATCAGTGACCCTCATTTAAAATTTAAAAGTTCTAGCTCTATGGGTTCGCCAAATACAAATGGTATCCCATTTAGTACTTTTCGTGAGTGACCCTCACCCAAAATTTCAAGATTCTAGCTTCAAACGTTTCGTCTGGGCGTTTATGAATCGTTAAGTCAGTCAGTCAATTATCCGATTACATACATCCATATAATTAGTATCAATTTAAAGGCGAACAACTACTGCCCACTTCTCCGGTCTATATCCTTTATGAGGAAATATTTACGCCATAAAATGCAAATTTTTACTTTTTTCACACAAATGTCATGGCCCATTTGATCAAAACAGTCATGTCTATTCGTTGGCCAGATCCCCTTGTCTGTGTAAAATTTCGTGATGTTTGGGGCATATTTGTGGCCTCTAGAGCGTCCAGAAAAACCGACAAAAATTACGTATTTGATCCATTTCATCCCCTAAATATTAACCGATCTTTACCAAAAACAGTAGGGGATTCATTAACGAGAACCTGTCCTACATGCAACATTTCGTGAAGATTGGACCATAACTGTCGTCTGTAGCGTGTTTACAAATTATAATGGACGGACGGACAGAGGGACACACATGTCTAGATCAAGTCTGCTAGTCGAGATATGACGATCGGTATTCTTAAAGGTGGGTGGGTATAAAAATTGATTCTTTTTATACCCTACACAACTAAGTTGTGTGCGAAATATTGGTCCTAGACCCACTTTTAAGTATACCGATCATATCTTGACTAGCTGAGTCAATCTATACATGTGTGTCCGTCCGTCCGTCTGTTCTTCATAGGATGGGTTCTGTCCAATGAAGACCCCTATTGTTTTTGGTAAAAATCGGTTCATATTTAGGGGATGATATGGACCAAATACTTAATTTTTGTCGGTTTTTCTGGTCGCTCTAGAGGCCGCAATAATGGCCCGAACATCGCAAAATTTTACACGGAGAAGGGGATCGGGCCAAAGAATGAGCATGTCAGTTTTCATAAAGATCGGTCAATATTTAGCGGGTCAAATGGACCCTGACTTTTGTGTGAAAAATTATAAAATTTGTCTTCTATAGCGTATAGATTAACCCGAGAAGTTGATAGGAGGAGTGGTTGGCCTTCAAATTGATACCAATTATATTGTCGTATTTACTCGGATGTGGGAGTTACACGTAAATATTTTCAGCAGATTACGTATTCATATATTATTTAATAAAACATTACCACTCTGTAGGGCGGAAATATAGCGGAGATCGTTTTGAAATGTTCCATGAGGTTCCAGCTATGGTCAAGAACAACGCCTATAATTTTCGATGACGATCAGATTAATATTTTTGTGTTTTTTTCGAGTCGATCTGTAGCCCACAATTATAGGACGAACATCACAACACAACCCACGGTGAAGGGAATCTGGACAATTATAAGGGCTGTACTGAATATTAGTAATATTCGGAAAATATGTCAGTGTAAGGAAGGGGTTCTGTTGACGTCTAATCGGGCAATAGGGTGCAAATATCACGAAATATTGCCCAGGCTCGGAATAAAAATCCGCAGAAAATTAGAGTTCCGTGATAGTTGTGTAGGGTATCATATGGTCTGTCCCGTCCGACATAATGCTCTGCTTACTGGTTTAACATTGTCTTTGATTTTTATGCAAATGAAAAAAAAAAAAATAAAAAATCGAAAACCCAACAGCTTAACAGCTCTTTGCCTTTGATGTGATTACGAGTATTGTTGCCTGGTAATGCAATCTCTGACTGACAGACATGACGATGGAGATGGTGATGCAAATCAGACATCAGTCTCTTCTCATTGGCTCGGCTGTCATTTGCATAGAATTTTACAAACATACATACAATACATGATTATTATGCAACATTGTTCAATATAATCTGTATTAAGATACAGTGACATTTTTCACACAAACACACGTACACACACTCAAGCTAAATTGGTGTCAGATGAGTGAAGAAGAAGAACCCATCATGAATGAATGCTGTTGATGTGAATAATATTCAGCTTGTATGTCAGTAGTTATTATCTAGTCACTTGTAAAAATTATTGGTAGAACCGACAGGCAGCCCTTCATGTCCTATGAATATCGTCTTTTCTAGCAGCTTTGGCTTCGGCACCACCTCCCTTTAAATTGTGGCTAATTGTGGCATTTGCAAATCAAGATTTCCACATTAATTATTAAATGCATACATGGAGAGAGAGAGAGAGAGAGAATGTGAAATGCCAACAAATTTATGATATTTTTCATAATCATCCAGCAGAGCTTGTAATAATTGTTCTTATCATCAACACCAGCAGAGGTGTGGTAGGGTACTTTATGAGTGTAATGGAAATTTAAATAGGTTAAAAATAAGGATTCCTTATTAATATTTATGATTTAAGTACTTTTGTAAAGATTACGTAAATTAAATATATATTTGAAATTATCTATGGGAAAGTGAAGGGTGTTCTTATAGACAACATGAAGAGAGAATCCTGGCAGAAGTCCTTATAGAAGAGCTGAAGTGAAGAGGGAGTCTTTATACATAAACTGAGGGTCAGGTGGTTTTTTATATACAAATAATATTATTATATTATTGTCTGATGATATAATTATTATTGTTATCATAATCATCTCTTGTAATTTTATTTTCTCTCATATTTAATATTTTTTCTTCTCTTCCTTCTCTTTCAGAACACATCACCATTATGGGAGGATTTTGTTGCCAAGGCCAGTAAATTACACGCTTGTTTAAAGTAAGTAATTATTGATTTTTCTTATTTCGCTTTTTATTTTATTTCCCATTTTTTATTTTCTTATCAAGCGTTTCATTATTATGCAAATTCCTCCGTTTAATTGTAATGACAATTAATTGATAATTGCTTGGCAATTTGTTAATTGTTCCGCAACAAATAGTAAAGGACTGGACTTGATGATGATTTTTTTCTGTTTTGTTAACTGTGAGCTATTCTGTTAATAGTCAAATTAATTCCTTTAGGTATAAAAACTTAATGGCGCCGAGATAGACAGGAAAATAAACCTGTTGTTAGAATACATTAATAAAAATAAAATTAACCAGACACTTGAAAAGGTTTATTAACTGTAGACTCATTAAAATTCTATAGAATTCTCACAGGATATTGTAATGAAATTAAGCAGCACGACTAGACAGATAAAATTTAAAATCGAGAAAAAAAAACATCAATCCTATGGGACGGCAAATATGTTGGCGGTATTGGAAAATTCATTTTTAGCTTTGGAAAAGTAAATAAAACGAGTTTTCAGTACTCTGAGTACAAAATTAAGAGAAAGTTGAAAAGCAGGGACATACAAAAATGTTAAAGCTAACCACATTGCTAATCACGAATTTCGATATTTTACAGGGCAAAAATCCGCTCGCGAATGATTCAAAATACGTTCTTTTCGTTTTGGGCTCATTTTTACGAATGAATTTATTGAATTTATTGCGATAAATTATTTACCAAACGAGCATTCGCCAAACGAATGTTCGCACACACACATAACAAACGAGTAAGAGCACACAACAACGATCGTTCGTTTCGTTTGGTGGTTGAAATTCTTTCTGACATTCGTTCACGAATGAAACAAACATTCGCGAATGTCCAAACAGCAAGAATAACAACAAACGTTCGTGAACTCAACAGTTGCTGGGCACGTGTTTTGTTATTCCACACATGCTCAACACTTTCTGATACACTCACAATCATTCGCTGTTCGCAAACATTTATTTTTTGAGTTTTTCAAAGGAATGTTCATCAGCAACAAATACTCGTTATCGTTCGTAAATTTTTCGTACAATGCGAACATTCGCTAGAGATTGCAAATGCTTGTTCATTCATTGTAACTATCATTCGCGATAAATTGAAAACATTCGAATTCTCGCAGCGAGTATTCGTGAGAATGAGCCTTTTTTAATCATTCTTCGCACCCTGATTTTTTTTCTTTTTGGATACCCTACCTACATTTCTACGAGTGACATCTTTGTAGATTATTTGGAGATTAAAAATTCGTCTTGTACTATTTACATTAGGGTCAAAAAATAAATAAATAAAAAAATAAGGACGAGAAGAAGCACAAGGACTCGAGATAGATGGATGGTATGTTCAGCGGGGCTTTCGTCCCCATGAGAAAATTTCCGCCCATCAAAATCGTATTGCAGAGTTTTTTTTTATACCCTACACAACCATCTTGTCAGGGTATTATAGCTTTGTGCAGCCCCAAGAGTTTGTAACGCCGCGAAATATTGGTCCTAGACTCACCTTTAAGTATACCGATAGTCCTATCTCGACTAGCTGAGCCGATCTAGACTTGTGAGCCCATCCATTATAATTTGTAAACGCGATACAGGCCACAGTTATGGACCAATATTAAAGAAATTTTGCATGTAGAATGGGTTCTAGCCAATGAAGACCCCTACTGTTTTTGGTAAAAATCGGTTAATAATTACGGTATGAAATGGACCAAATACATCATTTTTGGTTACTCCAAAGGCCGCAATTATGGCCCAAACATCGCGAATTTTCACATAGAGAAGGGGATTGGGCCAAAGAATAAGCCTTCCCGTTTTGATAAAGATCGGTCTATATTTAGCGGGTCAAATAGACCTTGATTTGTAGACAGTAGATTTATAAATTAAAATACATTGAAATTATCTTTGAAAAATTGAAGGTGTTCATATATTATTTAGTAACCAATTACCCCACTGGAGGGTGGAAATATAGCGCTGAGCGTTTTGAAATTTTCCATAAGGATCGAGGTATGGTCAAGGACAAAGCTTATAATTTTCGGTGAGGATTAGATAATAATTTTGGGATGAAGTGGATCGAAAAATTAATTTCTTTTGTTTTTTTTTTTTTTTGAGACCATCTACAGAGCACAATTGTAAGCCGAACATCACAACACAATCCACGGTGAAAGGAATATGTACAAGTAATTAGAAGGACTGTACTTAATATTAGTAATATTCGGAAAATATGTCAGTGTAAGGAAGTGCTGCTTTTGACTTCTAATCGGCCAAGAGGGTACAACTATCGCGAAATATTGTTCAGGTTCGGAATAAAAATCCGCAAAAAGTTGGAGTTCCGTAGTAGTTGTGTAGTGTATCATATGGACGGCCCCGACCAGCTATAATGCTCCGCTCACTGGTATAGAAGTCATATATATACGTTTTCGGTCTATATAATAAATGGCATAATTTTAAGATTTTTTTCTTATCCTCAAAATTAAAACCTCGATAAATTTTGCGCGCACCAACCAAAAATTTGATCGCGAACGGATTCGGAGTCAGGACATTTTTCTCTATATCTGTACCACGAAAACAAAAAAAAAACAATAAGGAAAGTTGTAAAGTCGGACGGGCCGGCTATATGATACCCTTCACCATTTTCGCATTTTTTAAGGGCCAGTAAAATGAAATTGGATCCATAAACATGTTATTCTGCAACCGATACTAAATTGTTCATTTGGTCAGATATAGAAGATATATCTAAATCTGAACGTATTTCAGGAAACTTAACACACATCATTCTAGACCCAATTCATTACGCTGTGCCAAATTTCGTGCAAATCAGAGGATGTACAGGGACTTTGGCACACCATTTACATTAAATCGGACGAATATATGGGAGCTCTACCTAAATCTGGGCCGATTTTCAGGAAACTTAACACACATCATTCTAGACCTAATTCATTACGCTGTGCCAAATTTCGTGCACATCGAAAGATATATAGGGACTTTGTGCACTATTTGCATTAAATCGGACGAATATATGGGAGCTATATCTAAATCTGGACCGATTTTCAGGAAACTTAACACACATCATTCTATAATATAAATTTTGTGCAAATCAGAGAGATATACAGGGACTTTGGTGCACCATTTACATAAAATCGGACAGATATATATATATATATATATATATATAAATTCTCCGGAAATTTTATTTAATAACTCAACGACGCCTATAGCCCCTGAAAAATATTATTTTAAAGATCTTGAAAAGTATTCATTATCTGATCTACGTAACCCTGTATAGTTTTTATTTAAAAAATTAACGTTTGCATAGCCTCCAAAAATATCATTTAAAAATTTCCAAACGAATAGCCTCAAAAAAAAACATTTTAAGGAAAACCTGCACTCATTTCTATTTAATATTTTGTAAATCCCTACTCCCCCTATTGTTATTAGTTCCATCAAGGCTCTATTTTAGTGTTAATGATTATCGGTTAATTATTACCTCATATATACATAGGGGCCCCCAATGTGTGGTCAAGCAATAAAAAACACGAACGCAAACATAACAATTCTATCTAAAAAATGACCACATAAAATAATGTTACAAAATTTATTAGCACCCGCCAACACTCAGCACCCTCCTTCTTTACGAAAAAAAAATGACTTGTTTAACAGGGAGTTTCCTCTCCCAACATAAAATAATAAAAAAATAAATAAAAACATAAAATCATCTAAACAATTTTCCTTATGTTTTATGAAAATATTTTTACAAAGTTCAGCAATGCAGTCGTCCCCCCAAGTCAAATCAACCAACCGAACAATCGCCAAACCATATGAATTTAAATTATTTCCTTGATTTTTCATGAGATTGTCTGGCGCGAGAGAGTTGTTGTTTTTTATTTTGGGGAGAAAAAGTTTTATTGTTTTTTTTTAGTTTTTCTTTAAACATATTTTTTACGGCTATAATTTTTTTTTTTTTTTTGGTATTTTGCTTGTACTTCTTGTCATCATCTCCCCAGATGGCGATGTTATTGTTTATTTGGTTTCTAATGTTATGATAATGTTGTTGTTTTTTTTTGTGTTTTCTTACAGAGCGGCCATCCAAGCAATCGCATCGTATTTGGATGCCTTCCAAAAAATTGCAGACGCAGCAACAAATTCAAGAGGTAAGTTCAAATATTGTGTGTCGTGGTTGTGGAAATGTGAACCAGAAAAACAAAATTTGAAAAAAATGAAATGAAAATCTGGGTAACTAAAAATAATTGGCATTCTTTGGGCATAAATCTTTTAAATTAGAAGATTTTAATCTTTTTTGGGGACTTGAGCAGCTATTTTTATGGAATTTTGATTGAAACCTATTAGGTATATTATTAAATTAGATAGTCAATTTTTTTAGAATACCCAAACGAATAAAGAAAAGACAAGTTCGTATAATAGATAAGAAGGTACAATACATTTGATACTGATAGGCCTCAGTCTCTAGACTATAATAGGCTTCGAAAAACATCTTCTTCAAATACTCAATGATCTATAGCCTATGAAAAAAAAATATTTCTTAAAAATCTACGCTCTAAGAGCCCACGAAATAAATTTCTTATAATTTAAAATATGTAGACTTCAATGCCCCCAGAGGAATGTTCTTTAAACAATCTGCAGTCTATTAGTCCTCGAAAAAAGTAAAATTTAAACATCTATACTCTAATAGCTCTTCAAAAAAAATATTTTATAATAAAATCTAAGCTACAATAGTCCTCGACATTTTTCTTTAAATTTCTACCCTATTATAAACCTCGATAAACTAATTATACATACAACCTAATCTATGCTTAAAAAAAAAAATATGGTATAACAGACCTCAAAAAAATATTCATAAAGAAATTTAATCCTCAATATGCTCGAGAAACGGATTATAAAATCTACCCTCCAATAGCCCTCAAAAATGTTGTACCAAAAAATCCATGCTCCATTAAACTTCGAGAAATTATCCTTAAAAAATATAAACTCCAATAGGCTACCAAAAAATATTCGTTTACAAATCAATTCTTTAATAGCCCTCAAAACGTTTGTCTTCAAAAATCTACGCTCCTCGACAAAAAAATTTTGAAATAAGCCCGCAAAAAAAAAAATCTTAACAAAATCGACTCTCCAAACGTTTTTGAAAAAAATATTTTTTAAAAGCTCTGAGCTCTAATAGCCGTCAAAAAAAAAAAAAAAAATAAATACAAATAAAATTTTATATAAAACCAGTGAGCGGACCAGTATAGTCGAACCATATGATACCCTACACAACTATCACGGAACTCTAACTTTCTGTAAATATGTATGTGTAAATATTTATGTGTATCAATTCAAAGGTCAACCACTCCTCTTGGATATACTATCAACTTCTCGGGTCTATGTCCTACAGGGGTAAATATATAGGCTATAGAACACAAATTTTGTAACTTTTCGCACAAAAGTCAGAGTCCATTTGACCCGCTAAATATTGGCTGATCTTTATCAAAATAGGCAGACTGATTATTTGGCCCGATCCCCTTCTCCATATAAAAGTTCAAGGCTCTATTTAAAAAGCTTAGAGAAATGATCTTTAAGAATCTACACAGACATTAAAAAATATTTTATAAAAAAATCCAATCGCTAAAAATTCTTCTAAAAGTATCGACGGTCTCAAAGACTTCGAAAAAATATAGTCTATTAAAAATCTACTCCAATAGCCTTCGAAAATATTATTAAAATAAAACCAGTGAGCGGAGCAGTATAGTCGGACGGGGCCGACCATACGATACCCTACACAACTACCACGGAACTCAAATTTTCTGCGGATGTTTATTCCGAGCCTGGTCAATATTTCGTAATATTTGCACCCTCTTGCCCGATTAGAGGTAAACAGCTCCTCTTCCTCACACTGACATATTTTCCGGATATTACGAGTATTCATACAGCTAGTGTCCAGATTCCCTCCACCATGGGTTGTGTTGTGATGTTCGGCTTTCATTTGTGGTCTATAGATCGACTCGAAAATAACACAAAAAATTAAGTTTTCGGTCCACTTCATTCCAAAATTATTATCTGATCATCACCGAAAATTATATGCATTTTCCTTGACCATAACTGGAACCTCATGGAACATTTCAAAGCGATCAGCGCTAAAGTTCCGCTCTCTAGAGTCATAATGGGTTACTAAATAATACACGAATACGGAGATACCTGTAAATATTTAGGTGTAACTCCCACATTCGAGCACATGCAACAATATAATTGGTATCAATTTAAAGGTCAACCACTCCTCTTGGATATAATATCAACTTCTCGGGTCTATGACCTTCAGGGGTAAATATATACGCTATAGAATACAAATTTTGTCATTTTTCACACAAAAGTCAGGGCCCATTTGACCCGCTAAATATTGACCGATCTTTATCATGCTTGCTTATTCTTTGGCCCGATCCCCTTCTCCATGCAAAATTTCACGATGTTCGGGCCATTATTGCGGCCTCTAGAGCGACCAGAAAAACCGACAAAAATTTAGTATTTGGTCCATTTCCTCTTCTAAACATTAAACGATCTTTCCCAAAAACAATAGGGGTCTTCATTGGCCAGAACCCATCCTACATGCAAAATTTCGTGAAGATTGGTCCATAACTGTGGTCTGTATCGTGTTTACAAATTATAATGGACAGACGGACCGACGGACGGACGGACACACATGTCTAGATCGACTCAGCTAGTCGAGATATGACGATCCGTATACTTAAAAGTGGGTCTTGGACCAATATTTCGCGGCGTTACAAACTTTTGGGGCTGCACAAAGCTATAATACCCTGACAACATAGTTGTGTAGGGTATAAAAAACATACCCTTTGAAAGCCCTAAAAAAATTTCTTTAAAAACTCTAGGTTCTAATCGTTAAAAATCAACCCTCTAAAAACCCTCAAAAATACTTTTTTTTCATCTACGTTCCATTCCAATGGCATATAATTATTTCTATAGAAAAAAATATCTATTTACAAATTTTCTATATAAAAAATATAAATGCACCAAACCCGCAGAACATTAATTTTTCTATGGAAAAAAGCAACCGGATCGTTATTTTTTCCAAAGCTATTAGAAGTTAGATTTATTAAAGTATGCTCTATAAATTTATACCGAACATTTTTTAAAGATTATACCGAACATTTTTTTAAAGAACACCATTTTCGTTAGCAACTGATTTTTCTCTATAGAATTCATAGACCCATTTGGAGCTTCTACAGAAAAATTAGGTATTACTACAAACACGGAAGCTATGCATGCTTTTCAAAGTAGGTGGGGAATGTGCATCCAACATTAAAATTTTGCAAAGAATCATGCAAAGAAGAACAATTCTCTAACATATTTCGTGTCTATGTTTAAGGAAATGGCAAATAAAGCCAACAACAACTATAATAACAACAAAACAGAAAAAACGAAATGAAAACTTAAATAAAAAGGCATCGCGCGCTTCAAGTCGTTGAAGATACATATAAAAATCAGATCACTGACCGCAAATGACTTATGTAAATTTGCACACACAGAAACAGACAAAAGAGAAACACTGAGGAAGAAAGAAAAATAATACATAACAAAAACAACAACAATAGCAACAAAAGTAGCTAGTTGTCTAGTAATAGCAGTAGCTGCCAGCAGTGGATGTGGCAGTGGCAGCTGTTAGTTTTTGCGGCTCGGCTCATTTTACTGCCCTGCCGTATGCAGCAGCAGTCAGTCCAACTATTTATTCTAAATAGCAACATTGGTCTTTTATGGTATGTTTAAATGGTCATTAGGAATGAGGTTTGTAGGGTGGTGGGGGAGTAGATTTGGCTAGAGAAGAGATATATTTGCCGGAATATCTAATTTCGTTAAGGGTGGTCCCTTAACGAAATTTGTACTAAATTGTACCAAATGTTTATTTGGGTGAACCGATTGGATAGAGCTGGAGTTCTGAAATTTGGAGTTCGGGGCACTTTTAAGGTGTAGGATTGTGGGAAGTTTTGGAAATGTGTACTAATGTGTACTTAATAGTACCAAATTTATATTTGGGTTAACTGGAATACTGAAATTTGGAAATAAGGTTACTGTTGGAGTATAGGATTGGGTTATGGATGTAGTTTTGGAAATTCATACTTGTGGATACTAAATGGTATGAACTTTGGTACAATTTCAATTTTGATTGAATCGTAAGTCTGAGATCCTGAAATTTTAAGTTGGGATAACTGTTGGTTGGGGTGTTGGATTGGGCTATGAAAGAAGTTTATGAAATATATACTAATGTGTTGAAGGTAGTTTTGGAAATACCTACTATAAGATATCAAATGAACTAAGTGGTACTAACATTTTAATTATGGCCAATATTAGTGTGTAATTTTTAAGGGCGTTGAATTGAATTGAACATTTCGAAAAACTATTTTTTGGCGAAGGGTAATGTAGATTAAACATAAAATAGAACTGTGTCAAATGTCTAAAAAATATTTAATTCAATACAAGTCGTATATTTTTTTTAAATATTTTAATATCCCACACAACTATATTGTCAGGATATTATAGCTTTGTGCAGCCCCAAGAGTTTGTAACGCCGCGAAATATTGGTCCTAGACCCACCTTTAAGTATACCGATAGTCATATCTTGACTAGCGGAATCGATCAAGACATGTGTGTCCGTCCGTCTGTCCATTATAATTTGTAAACACGATACAGACCACAGTTATGGACCAATATTCACGAAATTTTGCGTGTAGGATGGGTTCTGGCCAATGAAGACCCCTATTGTTTTTGGTAAAGACCGGTTAATATTTAGGGGATGAAATGGACCAAATACATAATTTTTGTCGGTTTATCTGGTCGCTCCAGACGCCACAAACTTCGCGAATTTTTACATGGAGAAGGGGATCGGGCCAAAGAATAAGCATGCCTGTTTTTATAAAGATCGGACAATATTTAGCGGGTTAAATGGACTCTGACTTTTGTGTGAAAAATGACAAAATTTGGATTCTATAGCGTCTAAATTTACACTGAAGGACATAGACCAAGAAGTTGATAGAATATCTAAGGGAGTGGTTGGCCTTTAAATTGATACCAATTATATTGTCGTATGTACTCGGATGTGGGATTTACACTTAAAAATGTACAGGTGCTTATGTATTCATATATTATTTAGTAAACCATTACCACCCTAGAAGTGAAAATATAGCGCTGATCGCTTTGACATTTTCTATTAGGATCCAGGTATTGTCAAGGACAACGCCTACCATTTACGATAATGATCAGATAATAATATTCGGATGAAGTTGACCGAAAACTTAAATTTTTGTGTTTTTTCGAATATAGATCAATTCGAACAATTGAAAACCGAACATCACAACACAACCCACGTTGAAGGGAATCTGAAGAGCTGTAATTAGAAGAGCTGAATATTAGTAATAATTTTTTAACTCTAGTCGGCCATGAGCGTGCAAGTATCGCGAAATATTACCATAGCTCAGAATGTAGTGTCACAGAAAGTTAGATTTTCGTGTATGTTGTGTAGAGTATCATATGGTCGGCTCCGTCCGACTATACTGCTCCGCTCACTGGCTTTACTTTATAGAAAAAAATCAAACCCAACAAACTGCTCTTCTTTAAAATATTCCCAATTGAAATCTCTCAAATAAGTTCCAATTTATTAGAACAAGGCTAAATAAACCATTGATTACAGAAAAAATGACAGTTTCACACGACCTTTGGCAAGAAATCTCATGACCTTTTTCTTGTAGTTTCGATCTTTCTTTGTAAAATTGTGTTCCACATTTCGAAATGAAACTATTTTCCCAAATAACGATGAATGAATAGCAAACAACAAAGAAAATACAAAAATAATATAAACAAAAATAAGAAGGGTTTAAAAAAGAAGAAAAAAAATCTTTCAAAAAAAGAAACATTAGGCCACAATATTACCACAAATTCCTTTTCATTTATAAATCCATTGGGGGTCTGTGTTTTCCTATGCAATAGCCCGACACTCTTTCCCCCGCAAAAAAAAAAAAAAAAAAATACAAAGAAATTCCACCACAAAGAAGCAAAAGGAAAACATCAACAACATGGAAGACACTGAAGAGGAGTTGATGGTGATGGCAGCAAAAGAACTTTTGCCATTACTGGGCAACAACATGTTGCCATTCTACAATGAACAACAATAACAAATCTGACAAATGTAAGGCTTCAAATGATTTTCTTCTTGATCGAAACAAAAAATAAACAAAACGAACGACGAAGCAGCATAAAACAAATAAAAAATCTATTACATAATTTTTTTTTCCATTCACTGGCAATAGCTAGCTTATCATCTCCTCCACAAAACTATTGCTACAAAATGAGGCAGCCAACCACAAGCCCCACTAGCGCTACTGCTATACGATGGAAAATTAAAATCATGAAAACAATATCGTAAACAATATGCGAAAGAAAAACCGCCAAATGCGAAATCATTAGACAATGGAAATTATACATAATATACACATACGCGAATATGTTATGGGTTGAGAGAAGAAGTGACCTAAGTCAAAAAATTAGTTTTCTTAAAAAAAAAAAACAAAAATCGAAAAACCCTCAAACATTTTTTAAATAAATCTACGCTCTAACAGCACTCTAATAATTCTACGATCCAATAACCTTGGGAAAAATCTAAGCTTTAGTAGTCCTCGAAAAAAAACTAAGATTCAACAGACCTACAAATATTTATAAAGACTCCCATCAGCTGGTCTATAATGACTCCCTTCAACTAGCCTATATTTATAGGCTATATTTATATTTATTTATGAAGTCTATAGAACTTCCTACTTCAGCTCGTCTATTGACACTTCCTTTAAAAACTTCCTTCAGTCTATAAAGAATACCTGGCCTTCAGCCCTCTAAAAAAGACTCCCTGCATTCAGTTCGTCTATGGAGACTCCCTGTTCTTCAGCTTGTCTACAAAGACTCCCTGGACTTCAGCTCGTCTTGACTATGAAAACCCCCTGGGCTTCGGCTTGTCTATGAAGACTCTCTGACTGCCTGGTCTTCAGCTCGTCTATACCGACTATCTGGCCTTCAACTCGTCTATACAGACTCTCTGGCCTTCAGCTCGTTTATACAGTCTCTCTTGACTCTCTCGTCTATAAAGTCTCGCTGAACATCAGCTCGTCTATAAAGACACCTTCCTTAAGCTCATATATATCTCTTCACCTCATCCCTTCATTTCGCCTATAAAGACTCCCTTCAGTTCGTGTATGAAACACTCCCTTCAGCTCGTCTATGAAAGACTGCCTGCTTCAGCTCGTCTATGAAAGACTGCCTGCTTCAGCTCGTCTATGAACGGCTCCCTGCTTCAGCTCGTCTATGAAAGACTCCCTGCTTCAGCTCGTCTATGAAAGACTCCCTGCTTCAGCTCGTCTATGAAAGACTCCCTGCTTCAGCTCGTCTATGAAAGACTCCCTGCTTCAGCTCGTCTATGAAAGACTCCCTGCTTCAGCTCGTCTATGAAAGACTCCCTGCTTCAGCTCGTCTATGAAATACTCCCTGCTTCAGCTCGTCTATGAAAGACTCCCTGCTTCAGCTCGTCTATGAAAGACTCCCTGCTTCAGCTCGTCTATGAAAGACTCCCTGCTTCAGCTCGTCTATGAAAGACTCCCTGCTTCAGCTCGTGTATGAAAGACTCTCTGAGCTAGAGCTCGTTTATAAAAACTTCCTACTATTCACTTCGTCAATAAAGACTTCCTTTTCTTCAGCTCGCCTATTAATGACTCCCAGCCCTTCAACTAATTCTGGTTCTGATTTCCCCTCCCATATCCGGTTTCCTTATTGCCTTTTAGAAAAATTAGCATACACATATTTTTCCTTCAGACACTTTTCCCACACTACAAGATTTGTACGTTTTTTTTTTTTTGTTCTTCACTTGGCCCAGATATGTTGCGGACATTAGCATTAAAAGGATTGCCTCCAGTCAATAACGTGTTGTGAACAACAAAAACAAAAACAACGACACAAGCCAGGAAAACCAGCTTCGAAAAGGCAAAAAAAAAGAGGACAAACTATACTTGACCTAAAAAATAGATAATGGTTGGTTAGTTAGTTGGTCGGCCCCTCAAACAGGTTCAGCACTTGAACATATTCACTATTTTCCATACGGTCTGCCGACGCCGCCGGCGGCCTGTATAATAATTATTATTTTCTTTTTCTAAATTCTGCCTTCCCTAACCTATTCCCCGCAAATGCCTATGCTAATTGGCTTTTAGCAGAAAAGACAAAAATGAACATCTCTGGAGGGGCTTTGGTTGGTTGTTTGCTTCCTTATACTTTCTTTCATATGAACTTTTTCTTACGACGAAAAGAAAAAACTTTGAAACTTGTTTCCAGAAAGAAGAAAAATATTTGTTCTACATAATCAACGAACCGACCAACACCATTACAAAGCTTAGACGACACATTTGACGGAGGCAGGGTTGTCCCCTCTTCCCTACATGATAAGGTTTCTATTGTTCCTTCATTGCATGCAGAAAGGTACACACTGACTTGCATTGGGACTGGTTTATGATGATTTAGATTTCCCAAAAGGGAATTAGGGATAGCATTTTTCCTATGCACATTCCATTGAACTAGGTCAAAATGGACGGACATACCCTGATCAAGATTTTATTTTGAAATGACTAATAATTTATTTTATTTTCTTCTGTTTTTTTTTTTCCTTTACAGGAGCTTCAAAAGAAATCGGCACCGCTCTGACCCGAGTATGCCTACGACATAAGGCGGTTGAGACACGCCTGAAAACATTTACAGCCGCAATTATGGACTGTCTGGTACAACCATTACAAGTAAGACCATTGTGAAATATTTCCCGAAGTTCTCATACTAAGTTTTTTTCTATTTTCATCTCCTTATTTTGCAGGAAAAACTAGAAGACTGGAAACGTTCTGTTGCTATGATCGATAAAGAACATGCCAAAGAATATAAACGCTGTCGCACCGAACTCAAAAAACGTTCTACAGATACTCTGCGTCTACAAAAGAAAGCCCGTAAAGGTCAATCGGATAATTTACAATCGTTGATGGATTCGCATATGCAAGATGTCACTCTGCGACGTGCCGAATTGGAAGAGGTTGAAAAGAAATCTTTACGATCGGCAATGATTGAGGAGCGTATGCGCTATTGTAATTTTGTACATTTGCTACAACCGGTCGTAAAGGAGGAGTGTGAAGTGATGTCGGAATTGGGTCATTTGCAGGTGAGTTGGAAGGGCACAAAAATAAAATGAAATAATTGAAGGGACTGATTGCTTCATAGCTTAAGGGATTCTTTATAGACTAGCTGGAGGGCGTTTTGTAAACGAGCTGGAGGGAGTCTTACACAGTTGAAGGAAATAATTATAGGCTAGCTGAAGGCTGAAGAGTCTTTATAGACGAGCTGAATGGAGTCTTACATAGACGAGCTGAAGGGAGTCTTTCATAGACGAGCTGAATGGAGTCTTTCATAGACGAGCTGAATGGAGTCTTTCATAGACGAGCTGAAGGGAGTCTTTCATAGACGTGCTGAAGGGAGTCTTTCATAGACGAGCTGAAGGGAGTCTATCAGAGACTAGCTGAAGGGAGTCTATCATAGACGAGCTGAAGGGAGTCTATCATAGACGAGCTGAAGGGAGTCTATCATAGACGAGCTGTAGGGAGTCTATCATAGACGAGCTGAAGGGAGTCTTTCATAGACGAGCTGAAGGGAGTCTTTCAGAGACGAGCTGAAGGGAGTCTTTCATAGACGAGCTGAAGGGTGTCTTTCATAGACAAGCAGGGAGTCTTTCATAGACGAGCTGAAGCAGGGAGTCTTTCATATACGAGCTGAAGCAGGGAGTCTTTCATAGACGAGCTGAAGCAGGGAGTCTTTCATAGACGAGCTGAAGCAGGGTGTCTTTCATAGACGAGCTGAAGCAGGGAGTCTTTCATAGACGAGCTGAAGCAGGGAGTCTTTCATAGACGAGCTGAAGGGAGTCTATCATAGACGAGCTGAAGGGAGTCTATCATAGACGAGCTGAAGGGAGTCTATCATAGACGAGCTGAAGGGAGTCTATCATAGACGAGCTGAAGGGAGTCTATCATAGACGAGCTGAAGGGAGTCTATCATAGACGAGCTGAAGGGAGTCTATCATAGACGAGCTGAAGGGAGTCTATCATAGACGAGCTGAAGGGAGTTCTATCATAGACGAGCTGAAGGGAGTCTATCATAGACGAGCTGAAGGGAGTCTATCATAGACGAGCTGAAGGGAGTCTATCATAGACGAGCTGAAGGGAGTCTATCATAGACGAGCTGAAGGGAGTCTATCATAGACGAGCTGAAGGGAGTCTTTCTTAGACGAGCTGAAGGGAGTCTATCACAGACGAGCTGAAGGGAGTCTTTCTTAGACGAGCTGAAGGGAGTCTTTCATAGACGAGCTGAAGGGAGTCTTTCATAGACGAGCTGAAGGGAGTCTTTCATAGACGAGCTGAAGGGAGTCTTTCATAGACGAGCTGAAGGGAGTCTTTCATAGACGAGCTGAAGGGAGTCTTTCATAAACGAGCTGAAGGGAGTCTTTCATAGACGAGCTGAAGGGAGTCTTTCATAGACGAGCTGAAGGGAGTCTTTCATAGACGAGCTGAAAGGTGTCTTTCATAGACGAGCAGGGAGTCTTTCATAGACGAGCAGGGAGTCTTTCATAGACGAGCTGAAGGGAGTCTTTCATAGACGAGCTGAAGGGAGTCTTTCATAGACGAGCTGAAGGGAGTCTTTCATAGACGAGCTGAAGGGAGTCTTTCATAGACGAGCTGAAAGGTGTCTTTCATAGACGAGCAGGGCACGAGCTGAAGCAGGGAGTCTTTCATATACGAGCTGAAGCAGGGAGTCTTTCATAGACGAGCTGAAGCAGGGAGTCTTTCATAGACGAGCTGAAGCTGGGAGTCGTTCATAGACGAGCTGAAGCGGGGAGTCTTTCATAGACGAGTTGGAGGGAGTCTTTCATAGACGTGCTGAAGGGAGTCTTTTGAGGCGATCCTGAAGCTCAGGATGTCTTTATAGGTGAGCTGATACTCAAGGGACTTATTAGGCGAACTCAAGGAGTCTTTGGATCCCTTAATAGGGGGCTGAAGATCTGAGAGTATTTAATGGGAAGCTGAATTTTACGGGACCTTTATAATATGAGGAGTCTTGAAAAGATGGCTGAAAGTCTGGGAGCCTTTATAGGCAGCTGAAAGTCCAGTGATTCTTCGTCGATAATCTGAAGAAGGGAATTTTTTTAGATGAGCTCAAGCAGAAAGTCTCTACAGAGGAGGTGAAAGCAATGGATTCTTTAAATAAAGCAGAAGGCCAGAAATTATTTATGGTTCCTTGTCACTGAAGACTTTTCTATAGAAAAATACCACCTCATATCCGGATGATGATTTCACAGAAAATTATTTTTTTCCGGAAAAACCGAAACGGGGATTGTGTAGATGAAGTAATAGAGAATACAATTTTATATTTTTCCACTTACCCAATATCTCTTTCTTTCCACCCATCACAGGAAGCTATGCAATCAATTGCTTTGGTTACCAAAGAACCACACGTTTTACCACCTGCCAGTGAGGAATTAATACACGATGCCAAGGCATCGATAACACTATATCCCGAATCGCCAAGTACCAGTGGTGGTGGTGGCGGTTCACTGTCACAGGGAGGTTGTTCCAATTCATTGGGGTCACGTAAGTCATCGGTGTGTTCCATAAGTTCCATGAATAGTAGTGGTTCCAGTAATTCACCCGGCCATCCACACTATCAGAGGTCATTGTCGCAGGTAAGTAAAGGGATTTTTTGTTGGCCCACAGATTTTTCTTTTGAGACATCATGGCAATTTTATTTTCACATTTTTTTATTTCAATTCAAATTTTTATTTATTTTTTATAGTATATTTCACCATCAATGCGCTTAAAACCTGGTGAATCCAGTGATAGTGGCTTTTGTTCATCGCCAGCCTTGACAACACAGGTTTTTATTTTTTTGTTTACCACTTTTATTTTTCTTTCTTTTGTGATTTCTTTATTTTTGGCTTTGCATTCTTTGCTCATAATTATCACACCTTATCACATTTCATTTTCATATTGATTTTATGTAAATTATTCACTTATCCTGTACTTTTCCTCTTCTAGGCCTCCTCTATTGCCAATCCTTCACACGCTGTCACTACATGGCCCACACATTCACAGGATGCTGTTGACTTAGCACCCAATGCCACAGATCGTCCACACACAATTTCATCAGCCTATGAAAAGGGCCATCAACGGCCTCCCTTAACTGTCTACACCTTTCAAAATCCTGAAACTATACACGAGGGTGGTAATGCAAATGGTAATGGTAGTGCTGCCGGTAGCAATTCCGGTCAAAATACACCATCGACACAGAAGTCACCAGGTGGTGCATTAAATCGTCCTCCACTGCCAGTGGTAAGTTGGATGAAGTCATTTCTATTGTCGTAAATGGTTATAAGGAACTTGGTAAAAAGGTTTTTATTAATAAAGACTTTGACTATGAGATTTTGAGACCCTAAAATTCTGCCATAATGAGTGATGTTTATTATAACCATTCACGATAATATTTAAAGAGGTGTATTTTTGTTTTTGTGTTTCTAAATGCTGTCTTTGTTGTTGTTTTGTAAAAATGCTTCTGTTTGTCTTGTATTTTAATGTTCTCTATAATATTGTTTTTTGTGTGTCTGAAAAAAAAGAAACCAGCTCATGTGGTAAGTGTTAATCCTTCAAAATGTTATGCTCCCTGGTTTCTCTCGATTTTCTTAGATTTCCCTTTTCTGAACAAAATTCAATTTCATTCTTCTTCATATCCAGTAGTAATGTTTGCTAGTTTTCTCACGTCATTCGATTGGATTGTTCCCTAACTACTTTTAATCCCCTTTTCAAAATACATTTCAATATCCTTACATTTTAATAAAAATTCAGATTACTTATGTATGCTAGAAGAGGTTCATGAAAACCATATAATACTATAGTGTTGTTTTTGGAATTAAAAATACAATTATTCGACTGGTTAAAATAATAGCTTTGGGACTAGCTGAGCCGATCTAGACATGTGTGTCCGTCTGTCCATTATAATAAGTAAACACGATACAGGCCACAGTTCACGAAATTTTGAATGTAGTATGGGTTCTGGCCAATGAAATGGACCATAACTTTATTTGGTTCTAATTTTCGCTCCAGAGGTTGCAATTATGGCCCAAACATCGCGAATTTTTACGTGGAGAAGGGGATCGGGCCATGACTCTTTTGATAAAGGTCGGCCAATATTTAGCAGGTCAAATTGACCCTTACTTTTGTGTGAAAATGACAAAATTTGTATTCTGTGGCGCATATATTTACTCCTGTAGGACATAACCCCGAGAAGTTGACAGTATATCCAAGAGGAGTGGTTGACCTTTAATGATACCAATTATTGTCGTATGTATCCGGATGTGGGAAAAAAGCGGAGCCGTCCGACCATACAGCTCCGCTTTTTTTTTTTTTTTTTGTAAAATAAATGGAAAGACAGCTCAATTGTCTTAGTTCAGGTACAGGGGTAAATATATCTCTTTGAAGAGTATAATATGGTTCCAAATACTTTGCCATCTTTAGGTATTTTAAAATATGACACTCTCTGGTTCTTTTATTTGAAATGGAATTACCTTCTTTATGTCTTCTATAACAAGTTATTCGGCAGCTGCTCTATAAGAAGATCTTTTTCGGCCCTATTATGAGAAGTCTAGACTGCAAATTATTCTTCGGCATCTTTCTAAGAACCTCAGGAGAAGGCAGTCATCTTTTTTTATGAGCAAGACTCCAGAACACATATCCTCTATGAATGAAAGCCTTCGGCAGTTATTCTATGTGAAGATCTTCTCTTGATTCTCTATCAGAAGGCAGACTTCTAATAGAACGGATTCTTTGTGAGAAGATAGCAAATTTTGCAGATCCTGAGAACCTTTTCTATTGTATCGTATATGCTTTTGGTAGGCAAGAACATTTTTCATGAATGGTTATGTTCCAATAATACTAAAGAATTTCATTTAAGACATCTGTAATCTATTGAGTGAGGGAAAAAGAAATCCATTATTTTTATATGAACTATAGGAGTTTATTTAACATGCTTT